GTGTGCTCTTCTGTTTTTAATTATGTTTCCAAAAGCTTTTTTTTTTTTTTTTTTGCACCATGTTTTTTTCCTTCATATTAAAATCTTTCAACACACCTCTCTTGACACAATGGTTGAAAACTGCTAACATAAAGCATTTGTGCATATTCTGTGCACGAATGATATTTTGGTTATAATCATCTTAAGTTTGTCTTATTTGTCCTCATTATGATGGCACCGCTCTCTTTTTTTAAAATTTTTTTAACACTTTAGCCTTACGCATATTATGTCTTCCTGTTTCTTTTTACAATAAAAGTCATGTTTTATTTGTTTCAGGTTCGCCCTGTTAAAACTGGTTCAAAAGTTTGGCACCATCAGGAAACTTGACTGTATCTACCACAAGGCAGGTCCAGACAAGGGCAAGTCCAAAGGCTATTGTTTTGTCAGCTTCCACACATGGGAGGTAAGTGTTGGTGTGGAAGGTAATGTGGGGTTTGTCCCTTACATTCTCATAATTTTAAAATGTTTCTATTATTTTGTTTTTAATTTGTATCCTATTGTTAGTCTGTTGTTTTTTATTTAATGAACATGTCTCTTTGGGGTAAATCCTGTACCGACAGCATTCCTTAATGGTTAGAGCTTTTGTCTGGTGATGTGGCCACATGATCAAACGCTTTGTAAAGGTGTGTAAAGAAATTGGTGTCGGGTTTATGGGTCGTGGTTGTGATTCTTACTGGTGTGGAGTTGAGAACATCCACCAGAGGCGTCCTGGGGACCCCCACCAGTACTCCCACCTCAACAGGTGTCAAACAGTCAGACAGTCTTAGGATCGAGGCAGTGCATTCTTTGTTCAAGTTCAGCTTGAATAAGCAAAATAAACATAAGTGGACCAAGGGGGCCAGGGTCTGGGATTAGGAACATATCAGGTAGCATGGCGGACAGAAAACCCAGACAGGAGTTTGGGTTATGGAAAAACACAAATATGATTGCTAGGTAACAGAACCAGAATATTGTAACCCATCCTTGAGGGATAGTCAATGAAGGCCAAGTCACAATGAGAGTTGGCTTCCTGTGACTTGTGCAGTTGCTTCCACTTGTGGTGGTGCAGTTGTGCCACCGATGACGTATGAGGAGAATTTTGGGTGGTAAGAGGAAGGGCCCGTGTTTGTTTGCTCACTTCCTCCAAATTCATGCCCCGGGATGGGAATGACCGGGGCACCAGCGACTATCATTTGTCCCACATCCCCAAGTAGGACATGCTAGGGCTTGATGGGTTTCTGCTTCCAGAACACAAAAGCTGGTGGAGTAGGTCATGAGAGTGTGCAGCAGGACCTGGTTCGAGCTTATGGCTGCCATAGAACCTTTGGAGCTTTTGGCTACCGTCAAGGAAGCTGGAAGTCCTGACCCAAATAGATTTTGCTACGCATGTCCTGCCTAGGGGACACTGTTCCGTCAATTTGCACTAAGTCAAGCCCAAAATCTAAGCTAAGCTATCACGCAGGAAGACCTTCAGTCTTTGGTCACACATTAATGGTTGCAAGGGTGTGGTCTGAGCCAAGGGTGTGG